TTTCATGGGCAAAATGAATTAGTCAAAGCTGATGAACTTTAAAGAAGTTAAATCCTTAAAACTATCTTTAGGCAGGTAACACACTGTAATCCATCAGCAAACCTTTGCAATGGCCCCCAACAATAAAATTGCCAACTTACTGAGTATGACCTATGTACTAAGCACATATATTGCCTCACCAAATTCTCACAGAATTCTAAGGAGTTGTTAGTATCCCCGTTTTACAGACAAGGACACTGAAATTCATAGAGGTGAAATGTTTTTTTCCAGATAATAAGAAGTGCAGGTGCAATTCAGGGGGAGAATGCGTGGCTGGACTTGGTCCCTATGCTCTCCTTTTGTCCCTGTGTCCCCAGGCCTGATAGCAAAGCCAGTGCCCACCGTTGAACAGTAACACTCCTCCAGATTGGATTAGGCTGAAATAACTTAAACACCAGACCCAGCCAGGAAGTGGAGCTCCCTATTCCCAGGACCAAAGAGGGTCACCCCAAGGGCATTTTGGCTGAATGAGAGCCAGAGAAAACTGGCACTCCCTCCAGAAAACCCAGAACTGGCCGTGTTGGGGTAAATGACTAACTCACAGGGCTGGAATGTGCCTTTGAAGTCACCCAGTGAAACCTGTCACAGCCATCAGATGCTCAAGCACCTAGCAAGATAGCCTGACGGGGAGGAGGGCCCCTGACGGAAGGTCAGGACACACGGGTTCCAGCCCGGCTCTATCACAGCCTCGCTGTAGTCTCTTGGGCAACTCTTATTCTCTCCAGACTTCAATCCTTGTTGGAAGGCAGATGAGCCCCAATGGTGGGGAGCAGGCATATGTGTGTTTAGAAGCTCCTATGTGTTAAGGAGTGCCTACATTCTAAGCTACTTGAAGGCAGGGACTGTGTGTGTTTTCTATCCATAACCCTATTTCCAGTGCTTTGCGCATAATAGAAGCTCAGTAAGTCTTGGTTGAATGGACGCATCAATTATATTAACAACTTTACCTTGTGACCTGCTATTAGGAAAAGGCATTACTTCTTTTTTTATTGAGGTACAATTCATAAAACACAAAGTTACCATTTTAAAGTGAACAGTTCGGTGGTGTTTAGTACATTCATATATTGTGCAACCACCAGCCTATATCATTCAATAACATTCTCATCATCCCATTAGCAACTACATCCCATTCTCTCCTCCCTTCATTTTCTGGCAACCATCAATCTGCTTCCTGTTTCTATGAATTTACTTATTATGAATTTAAATTATTATTAGATACATAAATAAACAAGCTCCTATGCACCCGGCACAGTGTGAGGCATTTCCCGTGCATTCTCTGAGGACTCTTCCATCTCAGATGTTCTGCTGTCTTCTGGCACAGAGAGTCAACTACACAAAATGTGGTTTCCCCAACAATGAGCCCAAAAGGGAGGGAATTTCCTTTAGTTGGAGAAGGGGGCACTGAGTCTCTTTTCTCTACTACTGACTGCCTTTGCGCCTTGGCTCCTCTTGCTGCCACCTAGAGCAGAGCTGTGGCTGTCCTTCCACAGCTCTCAGATCCAAGAGCAAAGGCCAGCACTGGTGACTGAGATCCATCAATCAACAGGCCCAGGAGAGAAAGCTGTAAGAAGATGTAAGAGAGGAAAGCAGGTCAGGACAGATGGGTCCACCCAGAAGCCCAGAAAGGATGAGTCAGCTCTCTTGGCCCTTTCTTGGTCTCATATCCCTTTTATGAACAGTAGACTGGCACAAAAGGTAAGTGAGAAGCCAAGGTCAGGCCCAGGAGGCAATGGAGGAAGACTAGCAGGATTCAAAGTTTGTGGGAAGGATGGGCACGGTGGCTTACACCTGTAATCCCAGCACTTTGGGAGGCCAAGGCAGGTGGATCACGAGGTCAGGATTTCAAGACCAGCCTGACCAGAATGGTGAAACCCCATCTCTACTAAAAATACAAAAATTGGCTGGGCATGGTGGCTTATGCTTGTAGTCCCAGTTACTCAGGAGGCTGAGGCAGAAGAATTGCTTAAAACAGGGAGGCGGAGGTTGCAATGAGCCGAGATCGCGCCACTGCACTCAAGCCTGGGTGACAGAGCAAGATTCTGTCTCAAAAAAAAAAAGTATGTTGGGAAGCAGCTAGTGCAGGTTTCAGACTGAGAGCTGCTGATGTAGGAGACAGTGCCCTGGGGAGAGGAGGAGGCCTGCGAGAGAGGAAGGAGGCTAGCAGTCTCAGAGCGTGCGGCAGTGCCATGCCAGGAAGCAGATGAAGCATGGCTACCCAAGACGGGAATACATGATTTCCTGGCCCAAGTCACCTTCCAGGACCATCTTCCATGACCCCTATGGCAACCTGCTAAGAACTGTCCTCAGCATCCCTCCCCACAGGACAGTGAATCACCATGACCAATTTCTTCTGCCCCCTACAACTAAGCAGCAGTTCAAATAGGTTGCCTCACTCAGGAGAGACAACCCAGCCAGTTTCTGCCTCCAAATGTGAAATAACCAGGGCATCCTTGAGCAGGGGCAGAGTTGGGTCCAAAGCTTCTCCATGTGTCATGGGATATGAGCTCATCCTCATTATGTTGGGTGGGGTCTGGACAGTTAACCAGAACTGTCATGTGGAAATGGAGTTTATGAGGTCATTCACGCAGGCAGTGAGAGAATTTCCCCCATATACAATCTCCCAAATGGGGCAACCTGAGGGCAGAATATGGGGCTTCTGAGCCCTAGAATCTTGAGGTTTCCCCAACCCCTCCCTTGCATACACACACACACACACACACACACACACACACACACACACACAAACACTCCCTCAGCTTTATCCACTGTCCTCTTTCCCACACCCTAGATTTGCCCAGCAGTCAAAGGCTCACACATACCATCTTCTCCTTAAGGCTCTCATTATTCCATGAGTCAGCAGGCGGGAAGCAGATCTGGCAGATACTGAGGCCCTGCTAACCCATAAGACTGGTGTGACTTCCTTGATCTGAGTCTGCTGCCCTAGACTGACTGTCACGGGCTGGGAAGAGGCAGATTCCCCCCAGATGAGGTCGGCAGCAGAGCACAAGGGCATCAGTGCCCACATGAGAATGCTTGATTAGTTCTTCAAGGCAGATGCTTGATTAGTTATTCAAGGCAGTGTGCTTTCTCTGCCACAGGAAAGGGCACAGTCCCTGTTTTATGGGAAAAAAGAATGTAAGGTCCCTAAGTGGGCTCAGGGAACAGAGAGGTCATGAGGAGAGGATAGCACTGTAGAAATCAAGGGTCCCTTGTGAGTCCTCCATCTTTCTTTTCAGACATGACCTAGGAACGTGACAAAATCAGTGCTTTAAATAGATTTACTTGGGGCTAAGAGAAAGGTGCCTGTCAGGAAAACTATGACGAATCAGCACACTTCTCAAAATTAGCCCCGCTGAGTATTGTCTTTATAATTCCTTCTTTTTTGATTAGATTGTAAAAAAGAGAGTTTAAATGAATGATGTCCATAAAATAAACTATTAACCAACCATTAAAAAGAAAGGGAAGAAATAAATCAGTTTTGTTTTTACATACACACACAGACGCACACATATAAATGTTGATCAACACTAAAATGTTTAATAGTCATTTTCTGGTGGCAAAATTCACTGCTCTTCAATGAATACTTGTAAAGCACATATTATATGCAGTGGTTTTGATAGTTCTAGGGGCACAGTGGAAAAGATACCAGGTATACCCTGCTCTTACCTTATTTTCCAGTGGGAGAGATAGACAATAAGCAAGTGAACAAATGCAAAAAAATAACTCTAGACAGTTACAGGTGAAATGAAGTACCAATCCTCCAGATACAATACACAGAGAGGGATCTCTGACAGACCCCAACATTGACACTGAAGCTGAAAGGCATAAAAGAGCCAGAGACCTGGGGAGGGGCCTGTGGGCAGAAGGAGAGCAGGTGCCAAGCCCCCAGGTGGGGAGCTCTGGGCTCATCTCAGGAACTGAAGGCCCTCCGCGAGGTAGGAATAGAGACACATGAATTGAGGCCCCAGAGAAAGGCAGAAGCCATGTACCCTGGGCCTTTTAAACCACGGCTGGGGGTTTGGATGTTATTTCAATTGTGCTGGCTCACTGTTGGCACTGGAGAGAGATGTGCTGAAACACCCACTCTGAAAGAGTTCTTAAGCTATTTCTAGAGCATGGTTTAGAATAGTCAATGGACAATTTGATTCTGATCTTTATATCTTCATGAATTTAAAAAAGTACTTAAGAAAGCTGTTTGATTTGTCATTATAAAAAGCAATACTTATTTTTATATTGTGTATATTCAATCCTGTTTCCTTGCCTAGAGTGGGCCATGCTTAGGAGTTCTTATGATCATGGCATTCCTGAGAACTTCTCTAACTGCAGCCTTGGGCATGAAGGCTGGCCAGCAAGTGACACCAGCAGAAGTCTCCTAGAAGTCTCCTTAGAAGTCTCCTAGAGTCAGGTAGAAACCTGACTCTACTTGGCCTAAAGTCAGACTCCCCCAACCAAAGACAGAGTTTATTTCCATACAGAATGAAATTTAAAATATGTTCTGAGAGAGATGGGCTCGTGGCTCAAGAGAATGCCCCAGAAATACCACCCCTTCATGGAAGTGACCCTTTCTATCTTCAAAGCACAGAACCCAGCCTGGACATCCCCGAAAGACACATAACTTTCCATTTCATGACCTTGAAAGTGAATCTCTCGGCCTAATAATGAGAACAAACTCATTTTGAAATTAGAAAAATTGAGATTCAGAGCAGAAGTTTGGCTGAGGTCACAAAACAGTAGGATGCCTCCCTCATCTTCCCTGTGCCCAGGTCAGAAAAGCATCGCAGGAATAGTTGGGCTCCCAGAACCATCTGGCCAGGCACAAGCTATGTGTCCCTGGGAATGGGGCCCTGAAGGGTTGCTGCTTCAGATGCCTGTGGTGAGTCAGGAAGGGGCTAGAGGAAGTTGACCAACTAGAGTGGTGAAACCTGTCCATCACCTTCAACCTGGAGGGAGGCCAGGCTGGAGAATGATATAAAGAGTGCCTTGACTCCTGCTCAGCTCAGCACTCCGCCAGAGCCTCTGCCTCCGCCTTACTGTGAGTCTGGTAAGTGTTGGATGGTAGAACCAGGGCTGGGACGTGGGACCTCCGACAGCATACGATGGGGTTCGGGTGGGCAGCCTGGGTGGGGGTGGGCATTGCTCTGGGGCTGGTTTCAACTGGACTTTCCGTCTAGGGGGACTCAGGTCACTGTACTGAGAGAAAAGTGCTTTGGAACAGAAATGCAGAACAGAGAGTAACCATCCTATGTCCTGTCTCTTCTTGTGACCATATTTTTGGATTTGTTTGTGAGAGAGAAGGAAGGAAGGGAGAAGGGAAATGGCAGTCAATTTCTTTCCTAAACCTCTTGAGTTTTGACTGACCATCATTTTGCCTTCTTTGTGGAGGCAAGGGGTTCAGGGAAAACCTTCTACCTTTTTTGGGGGCGCCATGCTGCACAGAGGGGACTGCAGAATAAGGAAAACTTTCTATTTGGAGAAACCTAGGCAGAGCAGGGGCAGGAAGACCCAACTTAGAAGTATAAGACTTGGAAGAACAAGTGCCAACTCTCAGCAACGTTCCAGCTCCCCTCATCCCCACCCCAGACACCAGGACTGCAGCTAAACCTCAGGAGGTCAGGAGAGAAAGAAGCCCTGGGGTGGACAGGCCAACCTGCTGGCTTTGCAGAGGAGAAATCCAAGGCCTAGGAGACTAAGTGACTCGCCCAGAAACACACAGCACTCAGTGGGAGATGCGGGCCCAGAATAGGTCATGTGGCTCCAGTCTGGAGCTCACGTCATGACCTCTCTGATCCTCTCTGGCACAGCCTATTGGCTTTCTGAACTTGGTGTCCTCTAAGAGAACGTTTGTTCCCTAATGCCTTACTTCTCACTGTGACGTAATCCCAGAATGTATCTCTGCTACTTGGTCCTTGGAGCGATGAGGGTGGGCAGAAGGACTAGACAAGAGCAGACAGTGAGATGACAGCCAGCACCCTTGTAGAATAGCCCTGCAGACAGATCTCCTTGTTGGCTCTCCCCTGGGAACAAGGAGGCCCCTAGGAGGACGTTTCCCTGCCCTCCCCATTTCCACCCTTCACTCTCTGATGCTTTGGGGGAATGATAATCCGGAGGTGGTAGGATAGTAAGTACCCTGCTCAAGGGAAGTGGGGATGCTAAGAAACCAAACCAGGTACTTCCGCAGATTTCCAAGGTTTCATCTACTTCCTTTGCCCTCAGTCTGTGCATCAGACCCCTCTGTCTTTCAGGTTGACAGCAGCTTATAAGATGTCCCAACAACACACGCTGCCAGTGACCCTCCCCCCTGCCCTCAGTCAGGAGCTCCTCAACACTGTTCCTCCTCCAATCAATACCCAGCAGGAGCAAAGGGAGCAGCCAGTTCCACTGCCTCCCCCGTGCCAGAAGGTGCCTGTCGAGCTCCCAGTGGAGGGCCCGTCAAAGCATGAGGAAAAACACGTGACTATTGTAAAGGGAGTGCCTGAGCACGAATGTGAGCAGCAGCAGCAAGCACAGGGGCAGGAACGGCAGCAACAGCACTGGGGGCAGGACAAGGAACATCAGAAAGCAGGAAACCCTGAGCAACAGCTTAAGCAGGAGGAAGCACAAAGGGAGAAGCAGCAGCTACAGGGACAGCTGGAAGAAGAGAAGAAGCTCTTGGACCAGCAACTGGATCAAGAGCTAGCCAAGAGAGATGACCAACTGGGAACAAAGAAAAAGCAATTGTTGGAGTTCCCAGAGCAGCAGGAGGGGCAACTGAAGCACCTGGAGCAGCAGGAGAAGCCGTTGGAGCTCCCAGAGCAACAGAGTGGGCAGCCGAAGTACCTGGAGCAGCAGGAGGGGCAGCTGAAGCACCTGGAAGAGCAGAAAGGGCAGCTGAAGCACCTGGAGCAGCAGGAGGGGCAACTGGAGCTCCCAGAGCAGGTGGATCAGCCAAAGCACCTGGAACAGCTGGAGAAGCAACTAGAACACCCAGAGCAGCAGGAGGGGAAGCTGAAGAAGCTGGAGGAGGAGGAGGAGCAGTTGAAGCATCTAGAGCAGCAGGAGGAACAGCTGAAGCATCTGGAGCAGCAGGAGGGGCAGCTAGAGCACCTGGAGCAGCAGGAGGGGCAGCTGGAGCTCCCAGAGCAGCAGGTAGGGCAGTCAAAGCACCTGGAGCAGGAGGAGAAGCAGCTGGAACACCCGGAGCAGCAAGAGGGGCAGCTGAAACACCTGGGGAAGCAGGAGGCACAGCTGGAGCTCCCAGAGCAGGTGGGGCAGCCAAAGCACCTGGAGCAGCAGGAGAAGCAACTAGAGCACCCAGAGCAGCAGGAGGAACAGCAGGAGGGGCAGCTGAAGGACCTGGAACAGCAGGAGAGGCAGCTGGAGCAGCCCGTGTTTGCCCCAGCTCCAGGCCAGGCCCAAGACATCCAACAAGCCCTGCCCTCAAAGGGTGAAGTGTTGCTTCCTGTAGACCAGCAGCAGCAGAAGCAGGAGGTGCAGTGGCAGCAAAAGTAACCACCTGCAGTGTCCAGAGGCCCTCAGATCGTCTCACACAAGAGAAGAGAGAGCCACTGTTCCCAATTAATTCGGGTCCCCTAGGTGTCCCGTCTCATCTGTGAACTTGACTCTGCCCCTCCACATGTCTCTTTAACAGGGTGAGGGTGAGGGAGAGAGGGAATTATTGTCCAGTGCCACCCTCAATGAGCCCAATCCCAACCTCAGGTGAGCAGAGCCTCTACTTGAGGGACTGCTGTTACAATAGGAATCCCTACTTCCCCAGTACTGAAGCCGAATCAGTGAGTGTGTACAATGATACGTAATAAATCCTGGAAGTCTTGGGATCCTCTATTCTCTTTAGCTTTTTCTTCTCTCTCACCACATAAAAACTTGTGTACGGGTCAATGGCTGCAAGAGACTCCTATGGCCCTTTCTCAAAGGAGGACAGACATCTTAATCTTTTTTTAAAATTTTGGTCCCCAAACCACTCAATAGATCCAACAGTTCCTGAAAACAAAATAAAACCCAAATCAAACAAAAACAAAAACGATTTCACTTATGCACTTGACAACAGCACTTGCCGGTCATGAAAAGGAGATAGTGGTTCTGGTTGTATCCCAACCCAACACGACCTTACACCGCAACACCCCACCCAGCCCCTGCAGAGCCCACCTTCTGCACCCAACTCAGCTCCTCTCAGGAGGGGAACTGAGAAGATGCTAGGAAAGCTTGGGGGCTCCATCTAGGTTCTGGTCTCTTCCCTGGAAACATTTCCAGGCTCTTCTGCCTGGGTTTTCTCTCATGATTTCCAAAAGTCTTATGGTCTGCCTGCTTGGCTGAGGAAGACTTTAGAAAAGCAATAGAGATAGAATTGGGCAAGGTGGGGAGAGGAGGTGTTCCAGATTGTCTCTGAGGGAAAGTGACAGCATGATTAAAGGAAGTAAACATTAGGCCAGTGCAGTCGTGGAGGCCAAAACTACTGACCAAGCTGGAGAAATACAGACCCAGCCACTGCAGATGTCACCCTCCTGCTACCTGGCTCCCTGACATCTCCATAGTCTTTATTGCCATCAATCACATCAGGACCAGGCGTTCTTTCCTGGGAAAAGCGCTGCCTTTAATTTTTCAAATTGTTCACTTTTAATTAATTAACCACCACATTTTAGGCAGGCTGTCTCAAGCTACTCAAAGCTATTTTACTGCAGGCACAAGGAGATATCAGAGACTTCCCTACTGAGCTCCAGATCTGCACAGCGCAGCACTTGGCATTTCTTCCTCCCCACCCAACCCCAGCAACACTCACTGTGTTTCCTCCTTAGGCGTTCTCTCTTTGAGGTAAGGAAACCGCCACTGCCATCTGTGCATTCACAATTATTCCTCATTCTTCCTCCTCTTCCCTACCCACTCCCATCAAGGATCGAGTCCTCGCTGTGTCCACCAACACCTGAGCTCTGCCTGAAGTCATTTCTTACTTGAATTGTTGCAACAGCCTTCCAGCTGGCCTCTCTTGCTCTCTATCTCCACACACCCTGCATTCCATTCATCACCCAGAGGACAGGGTGTTCTACTTAAAATTCTGTTCTAACCACAACCCTCCTTGGGTCAGCACTTGTCAGTGGTTCTCATGACTTAGACCATGAGAAGGCAGGCTCAAGTCCTCATAACAGCAGGCTTGGGCAGGACTGGGAAGGGAGACTGGGGACAGAAGGCACAGTAATCAGAAGCACCCAGTGTGTGTGTGTAAATTTTCTTGTCGATGTTTAAAAAACAGACTTTTTCAGGACAGTTTTAGATTTGTAGAAAAGTTAGGAAAATACTAGAGTTCTCATATCTTCCACACACCGTTACTCCTATTATTAATATTTTACATGAGTAGGGTACATTTGCTACAAATTATTGCAACTCGATTGGTATTATTAGCTGAAGCTCTTGGTTTATTCAGATGTCCTTAGTTTCGCCTAAGAACCTTTTGCTGTTTCATATCCTGTCCAGCATTTCACATTGCAAGTGCTTGTCTTGTCTCCTTAGGCTTCTCCCTTGACAGAGTCCGTTCCTCAGACATTTTTCACTGTTGTTTTTGATGATCTTGACAGTTGTGAGGGGTGCTGCTCAAATATTTTGTAGGATATCCCTCAATTTGTATTCTATTTGTCTGATGCTTTTCTCATGATTAGATGGGGTGTGGGTTTTTAGGAGGAAGACCACAGAGGAAGACTGTGGTCATTGACCATCTTCACTGTGGTCTTCAGTGAATAAGCGTCATTCATTCTCACCATGTCATACAAAGTATACGTATATCCGACATAACTCATCACAGTTGCTATTAAACTCCATCGCTTAGCAGAGACAATGTGTGTCAGTTTCACCACTGTAAAGCTACTCTCCTCACCCTCCCCCATGCCCCCTTCTATACTGTGCTCTGGAAGAAATCACTATGCAAAGTTCACCACTAAAAAGTGGAGTGTAAAGCTTCCCATCATTGAGGATGGAGAATCTACATAAGTTCATAAATTATTTGGAATTTTCAGTACAGATTTGTTCCCACCCCATTTACTTATATCAGCATGGACTCATGACTCATTATTTTTTTACTTTGGACTACAACCCAATAGTACTTTATTTGTTCAAATTGTTCCAGCTTTGGCCATTGTGAGCTCTTTCATTGACTCCTGTGTTCTTTAAAATTTATTTCCATCAATGTGGGTTTTTTTAAATTTTATTTTTATATATGCATTTATGTTCAGTTTGTTTTGTTTTTGCATATTCCTTACTTTCTGACACTATAAGATATTCCAGGCTCATCTCATCTTGTATATTTCCTGCCACAGTCCTAGAATTAACAATTTCTTCAAGGACTCCTGTTTCATTTTTTTGGAGAATGGCATTAGAAATTAAGAACTGGGAACTAGATATGGCCATTACTACTGGGGTATCATTTCCCTTAGGCCCTCTTAACTGGCAAAGGAAGTATATATGTGTACACTAACCTGTATGTGTGGGCATGTATGTGTGTTTTTCTGGTAACGACCTGTATCTATATTAAGCTAAACAGAGTTCATACTAATGTCTCCAACTATAATTTATTACCACATGGATCACTCTGCTGTCCTCTCATTTCTTATATGAAAATCCTCACTCCAGCTATGAGAAACCTGCCCCCCAATTGTCATCTATTTTCTTAATTATTCATTCTCAGTATTCAGAAGTGACTGTACTGTTTTACTTTCCCACCAGCAATGAGTTCCTCCTGTTGTCTTTCATTTTCACCAGCATTTGGTGTTAGCTTTTATAATTTTAGCCATATTAATAGGTGTGTGGTGATAGCTCATTGTTTCAGTTTGCAATTTTCTTATGCATGATGCTAAGCATATACTTGTAGGTTTATTTGCCATCTTCATATCTCTTTTATGAGTTGTTCAGATATTTTGCCCATTTTTTAATAGGGTTGTTAATTTTCATTCTGTTGAGTTTCTAAAATTATTTTCTATATTGGGGTTATCATGTATGTGTTTGGCAAATATTTTCTCCTCGTCTGAGGCTTGTCTTTTCATTCTGTTACAATGTCTTTTGCAAAGCACTAGTTTATAATTTTAATGAAGTCCAACTTACCAATTTTTTTCAGGAATCACACTTTGGTATTGTATCAAAAACTCATCACAATTCCAAGGCCGCTTAGATTTTCTCCCATGTTGTCCCTTAGAACTTTTAATTTTATATCCTTCATTTAGGAGGACTATGACGTAATGAATTGATAGGTCTCAAGCCATTATTTTGTATATAGGTATCCAATTGTTTCAACACAGGACACCCCCTTTTACCCTCATTCAATCTGCCTGGTACCAAGTGTAAAAAAACATTCTTCCAACTCATGGTTTTTACAATGGAAAAAGTAAGATCCAGGTGAACGATCAGCTTCCCCAACATCTTGCGTTCCCTGGCAGGAGAACTGTCCCTGCTTCAGCCCCACTGGAAACATCATAAATGCCTGAAGGGAGACATATCCCTGAGGATAGCCAGAAACAAAGTAGGGGCTGGCTGCCATCCCCAGGCCTGAAAATTCTGTACTGTAACTCTGCCAAAGGAGATGCCAAGTCAGACTGGCTGTTCAGCAGCATTGCACTGAGAGGCATATTCCACAGGTCCACAGGTAACCGGTTCCCATGTGTCGGAAAGGTTGTTTCTAGAGTGCTTTTATGTTTAAATTGGGTTTCTTCTAGGCAACGTATAGTTGGATATTGGTTTTAACCTATGCTTATAATCGCTGTCATTTTATTGGTGTATTTAGACCATTCACATTTGAAGTGATTTGTGATATAAATGGATTATTATCTACCATGTTTAAAGCTGTTTTATAGTCATTGTACGTGTGTTCTTTGCCTCTTTTTCTGCTTTCTCTAGTTTTAATTGATATTTTATTATTTTTATTTTATCTTCTCTGTTGATATATGTTTACTTTTATATATTTATTTTATAAAATATATAAAAATATATATTTATAATATATTATATATTACTATATAAAATAGAGTATTACTATATATAATTTATTTATAATTATAAATATGTATATATTATAAATATATTCTAATATATTTATTAAATATATTTTATATAATACATATGCTTATAATATAATATATTGCTAATATAAATATGTTTATATTATATTATTTATTATATATAATATATTGATAAACATAATAATTAATATATAATAATATATTATATTATTATAAATATATTATTTATATTATTATGTATATCACATATGAATATATTAATTTGTTATATATATTTATTATATATTTATATATTATATAGATGTTTACTTTTAAAAATCAGTGATTTCCCTGGAGCTTAAAACATACATTTACAATAAATCTAAGTCCTCTTTGAAGTAAAACTATACTGCATAACAGGTAGTGCAGAAAACTCATAACAGTATTCTCAATTTTTCCTGCTGTCATTCATATCCTGTATCCATTTTCTATAATGATCCAGCACATTAATATATTCTCACTTTGAATAGCTACTAGATCAATTAA